CCCCCCCCCCCCCCCCCCCCCCCCCCCCCCCCCCCCCCCCCCCCAAAAAAGAAATCTCCAAATCTTTCCTTATATTATACATAGTCTCATACATACATACATACATATTGTATATACTTATATAAGAGCTCTAGGATGGAAAGTGGGGAGTGTAAGTATAAGTGATTTGTTGGTTGGTTACTTGGTTAGGGGGTGGGGTGCGGTTATGGATAGGATGGGGTTGGATGGGGTTGGATGGGATGGAATTTGAAGGTGTACTACGAGGGAGGGAGGTATTGAGGGAGGGAAGGGAAGTATGGGATTTATGATATGGGGATGGGGAGAGGGGAATTATAAGGGGTTTGACTTGGCAGTGAGTTAAGGGTATAAGAATCCTCTAAGACACCCCCCCTCCTATCCCCTTCCCCTATCCTCCTCCAACAACAACCGAAGCTCCTCTTCATGAGCATACCTCCTAATCGCCATCTCCCTCCAGCCCTCCCAATCCAGATGTGCATCACTATCCAACGCGTTCCTCAGCCCCTGAAAGAGTCCCAGGAAGCCATCCCAATCCGCCAGATCATAGCCCGCGCAGAACTCGAACCTATGGAGGATCCTGCCCCTCTTCACAATCTCCGCCAGCTCAGGATTTCCTTTCTCTTCTAGAAGCTGCGCGAAGATGGCTTCGTCGTCTCCGAGGGTGTTGATGCCGGCGTAGAAATCGGAGACGGAGAGGAGGACGATGGGGGATTTGAATGCGCTGCTTTTGGGGGCGGTGTGGGCCCATTCCCAGTCTATGATACTGGTGATGTTGAGGGAGGAGTCGATGAGGATGTGGTCCCCCTTTTCGTCTGCGTGTTTTAGGTAGAAATATCCGTCGTCGTGCGTGTGCTGGGATAGGATGGCGGGTATACAGTCGAGAAGATAGCGGTGGATCAGGTAAGCGTCTACTGCTCGCGGGGTATAGCATTCTTGGCGCACGATCAAAGAGAGTGTTAATCGTAATGTGGCGATGAGATATTGTTCATGGGAGGAGTAAGGTCCAAGGGGTCGCATCTCGCCCGACGGATGATAATCCGTTAGGGATTCTCGTGCGAATGACCCAATGTGTGAGGTCCCTGGCTGATCAAACGACCCTGCAGATTGGAAAGGGAAACTGTGTAGCGTGATATATATGTCTGCGAGCTGGCTCATGACTTTCTTTCTCTGGTCGGCGGATAAGAGAGACCAGCGTAATGATTTCCCAGGCATCTTCTCCATTAGGATATACCCCACGCCGACTGGGTTTTCCTTCCTCTCGAAGTCGAAATCGAAGACCCGCGGAGCAGGGACCCCGGTCTTCTCGAGGAATTGAAGAGTAGCCACTTCGCTACGGATAATATGATCCCGCAGATCTGGCGGCGGGGAGGTAGCGTTCGAGCGGCGGATGCGCGCGAGCCAGCTTACACCATCTTCAAACCGGATCTCGACATGGTAGTTCATGCCGCCCATGACGGAGCTGCGGATTGCGCGGTCGTAGACCAGGGGAGGGATGGAGCAGGGAATTCCATTGCGGAGATGACTGGCTCGTGATGCAAGAGCGGGAGTGTTGATTTTCGATAGGAGCTGCGTGAGCTCTCGCCGCTCTGCTTCCCCGGCCGCGGGGTCGTAGGACTCGGCGTCCTGAGGGGGTGAGCTGGAAGCTCACGTGATATCGGTGTGCAGGACTCACCTCCCAAGCAGGACACTTGTGGAATTCGGCTTGGAGATGCTGTGTGCAGAGGTGGCGGTCACAGAGAGTGCATTCGCCGTAGGTACGGACTGCAGGCTTCTGGCAGTTGTCAAAGTCACAGTTCCACATTGGCATTGTAATGGGGAGGAGTGCTAAGTGGATATTCAGTATGGACTTCGAAGGTAAAATAGATGTCTAACCAACCTCCTAGGCAGAAATTGAGGGCGGTAAATGGGAGACCAGATGGATTCAAAGTCAGAAAAACAAAAAAGGTGTAGAAACAGATACAACAACAACCACCAAATTTCAAAACACCAGACACGACGCCGCACTGGCCAGCAAGTGATATATGGATCACGTGCGCTATATCACGTGGACAACCACTCGCACTCAAGTCTCGAACTCAAGATAAATGAAAGAAGACCTCCTGCTTCCCCGAAGGTGACTGGAGCATACCCTGTAGAGCAGGAGCCCAGAGAATGGGCCAGAATGGGCTTGCCAGCTAGGAAGAAGCTGGGAGTGATGTCTGGTGGATGCAGTTGCGCTTCATAGAAGGTAGAACGAGCATTTCAACCGTTTCAATCCAAAAGGATGATGCATAGGCAGTTGACATGCGGAGGAAACGGAGATCATGAGAAAGTGAAAGCGAGGAACGTAAGGTATGAGGGCCAGGTTGTGAGATATATACATAGGTATACCTTGTACATATATGTATATGTCTATATGTGGAGGTAGGTAAGTACTACAAATACATATAATGAAGAAGCTCAGGATCAAACATGGACTGAGATGAAAGAGCAAATAAACTTACGGTAGTGTATGTGAGACAGGACGAAAAGGGGTTTGGTGAGTGAGTGAAGCTGTTTTGAGCGTCGAGATGTAGGTTTCTAAAGAGACGTTGAAGCCAGGGGATGAAGTGTAGAGAGAAGAGTGGAGAGAGAAGAGAAAAGTGGAAAGAGAAGAGAAAAGAGGATATGAGAAGATGGTTTGGTGGGAACAGGTTCTCTCCTTGCCGGCCGTTGATAATGAGCACTCGCTGCTTGTGAATGTCGTGCTGGCTGCTGAATGTAAGAGTGCAGCACCCAGCTCCGCCTTCAATGCAGCAGAAGCTGAGGGATAAAAGTCACACGTCTCATCATCTCATAGCAGCTCATCCTCAGCTCGCCCACCGGCCTCTCTCGGCATCCTCGCCAGTCCAACGTTCCATTCCATCCCATCCCCGGACACCAGTATCATCACTATGATGATCACAACGACCTCCACCACCACCACCACCACCATCATGATCATCACTCACCACCACCTCCGCCAAGCATCCCCGCCCCAGCCCATGCGGCGACGTCTGCGCGCGGGCACTAGCCGCTACCCCGGATTTCTGTGACAGGACGAAAAGCCTCCGCAGACGAGATGGCTGCATGTCTTGCCTGTACCATCCGACCACCTACGTCTGTCTTACCGCGGCACACCTTGCACAGCTGCACGATGCCATGCGCGCCCAGTCATTGGACACCCGGGATCTGGACTTGCATCGGGCTTTGAATGCTGCGAGGGTCAGCGACGTGGCGGCTCTGGGGTTCTGGCCGACGGCCAACGACGACGACTCGTGAGAGGGAGTGTGGTATTGTGGCTACGGGACAGCAGGACTGGAGAGAAAGGATGGGGAGTGCGTCTATGAGAGCGAGGTTATGATTGAGTGACGAGGGGAAAGGGAGCGAGGGAAGGCGTTGCGGGGAGAGGAGAGGGGAGGGGGTTTAGAGGGTCACTTAGAGGGTTCAAGGGCTAGAGCCTAGAGGGGAGGGGAGAGAGATGGAAGAGCGGTCACGCCGAGGGGCCGAGTCGAGTAGTAGTCGGCAAGGTACCTTAATACGGAGTAAAGACCTCATGTCAAGAGCCGGGAAGCAAGAGTCAAAGAGTCAAGACTAAGCAAAGACGACGACTCAAGTCCCAAAGAGAACAAAGGATCCCCAGCCCCCGAGGTTCTGGAGCGGCGGTCGAGGAGGCATCCCTGGCCCAGCGCACAAGGCTCCGCAGACGCCCCTCCGCCAGCGCTCAGGAGATGCGGCGACTTTGTATGGGGAAAACGGAGATGCAAGAATGGCGGCGGTGGGACTGCGTTGCCAGTACGTAATAGGTGTCGATTTCTCTGGGGCAGGAACAAATCTTGCAAGTGACGCCATCGTCGTGGTGGGAGACGAGCTGGACGGACTGTGGTGGGAGAGCGGAGGGTTGGTGTTGATCTTACGGAGAGGCTTCAAGGGAGGGTGGTTAAGGGCAGGGTTAAGGTTCAAGGATTCAAGGGTTCAAGGTTCAAGAGCCTGGGGATAGGACACCTTAGGGCGGGAGGCTCAGAGCGCGGTCGACGGGTTGATTTGCGCTCAAAGCCTATATCGAAGAGGAAGGGGGGAAGAGCATCATCGATACATCCCGGACATGGAACAATACCGCATGGCGGCCGTAGTTCCACTACTCAATGGAATGCAACTATCGCCAGAGGTTCATGGTTCATGAAGCAAGGCCAAAAGTCAATCAGCTCAGGTCAACTCAAGTCAAGGCAAGTCGAGCCCAGGACTCAAGGCAAGTAAATTTCAACAAGAATCGCCAGGACAGCTCGTAGCGAGCACGTTCCTCATTCTCTCTCTCTCTCGCCCTCTCTTCTCCCCCCTCTCCCGCTCGAATCGGCGCCGGCATTGATTCCACGATGTTCGTTGGTGGAGTCGCATAGGTTCCCTCAAAAGGGCTCAGCCAGAAAAGTCCGTACGGAACAGAGGGCGTCCCCACCCGCGCGTCTCCCGTTGGCCCACGCCGACCGACAGCTCTTCGCACAACGAGGCATCCGGATTTTTGTTACTCAACACCGCGGTCTGGGTGGACGGGACATGACTAACTAGTGCTGGGAGCGAGGAGGGCTCGGCGGCAGGAGGGCAGAAGCAGAGGCTAGGAGGCCCTCAGCGGAGGGCTAGGACAGGAGGAGGAAGAAAGAAGAGCCGGCGGGAGGGAAAAGGAGGAAAAGAAGGAAAAGACGGGGGAGAGCGACAGCAGAAACGTGCCCTAGAGAGGGCACGCAGCGGCACTAGCAATATCAATTAGGTGATCTGGCAAAGCTTTTGCACGGCGGCACTGCGAACTGCGACGTGCAGCGCGGGCACGAGTTCGCTCGTTCGTCTCGGCCTGTGCAGGCGTATCCCTCAAGGTCCCCGTGCTGAGAGGCCTTTATCATTATTATGGGATTTATAGGGTTTAATGCTGGTTTTCTATTATTATTATTATTCTTAACCGTGCTGCAGGAGGCGTGTTCGTGTAATGTCATGGAAGGAAAGCAAGGGAAAAGAAAGGAAGAGGGGATCGTGTAGTTAGTTGTCTTCATCATTGTATCTTCATCTTCTTCTCTTCTCCCTCAACCTCCCATCTTCATCTTCATCTCCATCTTCTCTCTTCTCCTCCGCCTCCCATTTCCTCCCTCTCTCTTTGAAAACCCCAATTCTCTTCGACCCTCTCCCCCCTTCACGTCCTGGCGTCAGATCTCGCCTTTTCATAGCAACATCGCCTCATCCCATCCCATCCCAACCCATCCTCTGGACCCGGTGCTTGCCCACCTGCTACAAGTACCGAGCAGCCTGCCCACGCCGCACCGCAGGGTCAAGGAAGATATAGAACATATCAACCAGCAGCCACAGCAACATCCACCGCAACGGCCACACCCACATCAATATCTTCGCTCTCTTCCAGATCCCGAGCAGCCGTTCGGTCCAATCCCCCTTCACTACGCTCACCTCTCCTCACCTCATCAGGCACACCGTACGTCTAGCCGTGCATTGGCCGACCTGTCCAGATCGATCGATCCCTGGCCGTCGTGTCCGAGAGAGTATCGACTTTCCTCACCGCAACGACTTATCCTACCTGTCGCCTGATCACACGTCATCAATATATATAGATATAGATATATTCTTTATATTTATATTTATATATATTTGCCGCAAAAGATATCTCTAGAGATATATTGATATACCTTACATATATATTTATTTTTATTTATATATAAGACAGGAACACATCTCAACCACCCCGCTCCGCCTCCAGTCGTGGAGAGCCAGGCGCATGGGAACAGGAACCAACTGACCAGGGAACAATCGACCAAAGCTACTTTGGCCAACACCACAAAAGCCCCAATCTACGTGAAAAAAGAAAAGAAAAACCGGGCGTCTGGAAAGGGCAAGGTCTGGCGAGCAGTTGAAAGAAAGGGAAAGGCGTGCCGCAAGGGCGGAGATCTCTCCGCACTCAACCCCTCGTCCATCGCTGGGAAAGGGAAAAAAGAAGTCGGCGTTGGGAGCTTTGACTTGTGTCTTCTTGAGCAGAGGTTCAACATTCGAGACTCGACCCAGGGCTCGACGCAAGACTTGAGCCAGGACTCGATTACCCTGGTGCGCGCCGTCGCGACAGAGACCAAGGCGGGACCGAGAGAGAACGAGATCCAGATACCCATATACATCTAGACAGACACAGAGACAACTACAGACTCTACACACAGATATCACCACCACGACGCACATCGCCATCTACCCTTCCTCTCCTCCCTCCCTCCGCCCCGCCTCCACCTCTTCCGCCGCCTCCTCCATGCCCTCCGCACTCCCCAGGGCGGCCCTCCCCATCAGACCGCGCGAACCTCCGCCGCGAAAGCTCAAACATCCTCCCTCGTCCTCCTACAACGACCAATCCTTCCTCTCCGCCTCTCCCCCCGTCCTCCACCCCTCCACTACCTCATATCTCGAAGAGCGACCTCACAAACGTCCCATGCCCACCCCCAGCTACACAATCGCTGTCGTCAACAGTTCCGGCCGACAAGCTGCCTCGTTCATCCGCGTCGCCTCTGCCGTGGGGTATCACGTCCGCGCCCAGCTGCGGAATCTCGATGGCATTGTCGCGACTGAGATTGCCTCACTGCCGAACGTGACGGTGCTGGTTGGCGACCTCTATATCAAGCAAACGCCCGCGCCGACCGCCAGCGCGAGCCCTACCCTCTCCCCCTCAGATACCCGCGTCAACCATGCCTTGATCAAGGACCTCTTTAAAGGCGCCCAGCTCGCCTTCATAAACACGACCTTCTGGGGCGACGAGGTGGCCATTGGCAAGGCCCTCGCCGATGCTGCCGTCGAGGCCGATGTCCAGCACTACATCTACTCGTCGATGCCGAACCACTCCTTACATGACCCCTCATGGCCCTCGTTACCCCTCTGGTCCGCCAAGCAGACGGTCGAGGAATACATCCGCTCCCTACCCGCGCTCGCCCCTCGCTCGACCTTCCTCTACACCGGCATCTACAACAACAACTTCACCTCCCTACCCTACCCGCTCTTCTGCGTCGAGCTGCAGCCCGACGGCTCCTTCGTCTGGCAGGCCCCCTTCCACCCCGACGTGAAGCTGCCCTGGCTCGATGCCGAACACGACGTCGGTCCTGCCGTCCTCCAGCTCATCAAAGACGGCACCAAGAAGTGGGCGGGACAGAAGATTGCCCTCGCCTACGAGATGCTTACCCCGCGCGAGGCTTGCCGCCGCTTCGCTCGCGGCGTCGGCCGCCCCGTCACTTACAAGCGCGGCAAGATTGAGATCAAGGTCAAGATCCCCAACGGCTACCGCGAGCAGCTCGTCGCCCTGGAAGAGATGTACGCCCTCGGCGCCGAGGACCCAGATAAGCAACCGCCCTACTTCGGCACCCGCGTTTTCGAGGACAGTTGTCCCGAGGAGGCCCTCGCGTTGTGGGAAGGCTACCGTGGTCTTGAGGAGTACGCGCGAGAGGTCTTCCCCCTCGAGGAGGCGGCTAATGGTCTCACGTGGATGAACGAGGAAGAGGACGAGGAGAAGACGGAGGGTACGATCGTTGGGGGTGAGACGGGCGAGGAACCCGAAGACGACGGCGACGACGCGAGTGAGGGCCTCACCATGGCCGGGACCGAAACCCCTGCGCGGCGGGAAGAGAGCTGGCTTGCGTAGTATCGACACGGCGTCCTCACAGGAAAGGATCATTTTCATCGTTCACTGAATAAGAGAAGGGAAACCTCAATGCATTACGAGGTTTTAGTTCATTCATTGGTCAGGCTTCGGGATTGGAAGGCGGGGGAAAAAATAAGAAATTATTATATCCTATCATATCATCATCTTCACATCATACCCGCGGCGTTCTATCACATCACATCACATAACGATCTATAACTCTGGGTTCGGAATTTCTCTTACGTCGGCGGATCTCCTTCCTGCTTTGATTATTTTCGAAAATTCGATTTCTGGTTTTCGAAATTGAACTGGCTTAGTTCAGTTCAGCTTTCAAGACTCTCTCGACTATCCATCCGTCTCAATCCTCCGTTGTTGTTGTCGGTCGAAAAAAGAAAGAGAGGCCAGATCGAACATTTTTTTTTCCTTTTCTTAATCTTGCATTGCATTGCGTGGGCTCGGGAGGGAGGGAGGTTTTTCTTCTTTGGATGGATGGATGGAGGGAGGGCTGGATCTGGTTTATATCGCGATTGAGGTGCGGGTTTATTATTTTCTCGTACCTTTAGTTTTTGAAAATTTGAAATATCTATCTATCTACCTGCCCTTTGGTCTCTCTCTTTCTTTCTTTTATTATTGGTAGGATAAATGAAAGAACAGAACAGAACAGAACAGAACAGAAAAGAGAAAGAAATGAAATGAAATGAAAGAAAGATATTTGGAGATGTTTGGCTTTTTGAGAGGTGCTTTATATCATTTCATGACACTATCCACACAACCACCACCAAACCCAGAACCCCACAAAACTCTAACACACACATACACACACATCAAGCAAGCAAGCAAATCGATGAATAAACAAACAAATGAAAGTACCACGAAATACAAGAAACCCAGAAATAGAAACATGGAGTTCTAGCCCTCCCTCTATCTGCGTTCTAGCTCCTCCTGCTTTACCCCTTATTCAGCCTCTCAAGTCTTAAGTCTTAAGTTTCAGGATTCAAGTTTCAATTTCGATAGATAGATAGATAGATAGAAGAACGTATGAGAGAAAGAAAGAAAGGAAGGAAGGAAGGTTTTTGATGATGGTGATGATGTATGGTGATGGTGTTTAGTATTCGATGATTTGCGATATTCTATACTTACATGTATACATACATACATGCATACCTTATACCCCCTTCCTTCCCTTATAGGAGAGATAGGATAAGATAGGATAGGGTAGGATGCATATAGTTAGGTAGGTAGGTAATCTATTATTTCATCCTACCTTACCTATCTGAGCCTCCCTCGACTTTTCTTGGGTTGGTTGTGTTTTACATATATGTATGTATGTATGTGCGTGTGCGTGTGTGTATGTGTGTGTATGTATGTGTGTTATGTGTGTGTATATATGTATACAAGCCTCTCATCCTAACTACCTTACCTACTCTTGCCTCGCGCAGGGGAGGTAGATGGAATGAATGAATGAGTAAGCGCCCTTGCTACCCTACTCTACGCCTGTAACGCCATTCCATTGTCTTATTTCAACACCTCCACAAACAAGTAGCGAAAAACCCCCAAACATCGAAGAAAAAGGAACTCGCACCATAGCGAAGAAAAGGAGGGCTCACGAAGAGCGCTGTTTCTTGCTAGGGCGCCCGTCACTCTCGACGGAGGAACGAGCGTCTTCGAGAGGCTCGTCTTCTTCGGAGGACTCGAAGTCGGCGTCTGAGAGGACGTCTTGTTCTTGTGCTTGTGCTGTGAGGGCGTGGGTTAGATTGGGCTGTGGAAAATGTGGAGGAGGAAAGGGGGAATAGCATAGACGTACTGAAATACTTGATAGCCCCGGGCCACAGATCCTCCGTGATGGCGATGGCGAGATCGTCGCCGTCAGGGAAAATCTCGAGGGACATGCCCGGATCGTCTTCCGCTTCTTCTTCTTCTTCTTGATCTTGAGCTTGCTCTTGTTCACCCGTACTCTCCAGCGCCTTGTCCGCCTTGCGTTCCCCTCTGGCTTCACGCTCCAACCGCGTCGCCTCGGCGCTCTCCTCCGCGCTCACCCGCCGCCCGATGAAGCCGAACCAGGCGAAGAACGACAAGCCGCCCATGCCCGTATTCTCAATCTTCTTCTTCAGCGCGCGCTGCTCCGGCGACAGCCCGCCCGCCACCGGCCCCGCCTCCCACGCCCGGCACACCAGGTCCAGCAGGCCGCCCGTCAGATCGCGGTCCTTCTTCCAGCGGATGGGCACGGGCTCGCTGACGAGCCCCGACCAGCCGTCGCGCGCCCGCCGGTACCAGAACCGCTTCTCCAGCACGGTATCCTCGAAGTACTCGTTGGCCGAGAAGGTGAAGCGGATCGCGACGCTGCGCGGGTCGCCGCCGGGCGTCGAGATCTCGAAGTGGCTGACGGAGAGGTTGACGAGGGAGGAGAGGAGGAGCGCAGAGTCGGATGGCTGGATGTATTGATCGATGTCTGGGGGAGCTTGCTCGAGGACGAGCGGCCAGAAGTTGGGGATCTGGGAGGTGGTCTTGTCGCGTCGGTCGTAGAGGGGTTGAGTGAGGGAGACTTGTTGACGGACTGTGAGGAATAGTGTTAGCTATTGTTTCTTATGCAGTGTTCTCATCTGATCTTCATTCCATGATTGTCCAGACGTTCCCGTGCAGTAGTTGAAAGGAATCGAACGGCCATGGAGGGGTCGCGATCGCCATGCATCCCGGACATTCACATCCTGCAGGGACTAGAAGGAGAGGCGAGGCCAAACCAAACTAAACAAAACTTGCACTCACTGATTTCCGTCTCAGCATCGTCAAAGTCGCGCTCGATGTCGGCGAGGTCCTCGTAGGAGACGGGGGTGTCTGCCAACGCGGCGGCCATGGCAGCTGTGGTGAAGGCGAACTTTTGGGGCATGAGAACACACAGTTCGGATATCGTGGATGCGGGAGGGGGGATAGTCAGACTTGGATATTTGGGCGCAGGCCCTTTTAGCTGAGGGATATCAGATGGATCTAAGATCTGGCCCTCCTGAGGCTTGGTTTTTTTGTGGCAGCGAGTGGAGTCCGGTTGGTGCTTGGTCTCGCGCGGGAGATGTCACTGAGTGGAGGGTATTCGCAGGATGTCACTGCGCCGTGGTTCGAGGTTTGAGGTAGGCCGGATGACGTTGTCGCAGAAAGATGAAAAGAGAGGAGAGGGAAGAGTATATTATTGAGAAGAGAGGAAGAGTGGGAGACAGACAGAGAGAGAGTGATGGATATGATATTGATCCTAGTCTTGATATCAGATATTGACAAGGAGCAGGACGTCTAATCAAGATCCATATTGCCAAGACTTGTAGCGAGGCCACGCAAGTCAGGAGAAATGCTTTCTTTTTTCTACTGTTCTTCTTTTCTTCTTTTCTTCTTTTCTTCTCTTCTTCTTCTTCTTCTTAATTCAATTCCAAATATAAAAATAAAAAATATGAAATATAAAACTTAAGCTTCTCTCTTATAGATCATCCTTCTCGAATTGACGAATTAAAACACAGTTCAAAAGATCTTCAGTCGAATAGGAAAAATTATAGCAAAAAAGGCTGAGGTAAGATTGAGATCATATGATCTTGATTGAACACGAAGAGCTGGGCATAGCCCTTGATAATATATACACCTTGACACCTCCCGGATCCATGAATATACAGTTCTGTCAATATCAATCAATCAATCAACATTAAGACAAACATCAACTTGACCCGGGTCTTTGCTCCTTTGCTTCTTTGGGCCTCGGCCTCCCTCGATATTCTCCTAGCGAACCTGGAAGTCCAGCCTTCACGACACTATACTAGGGACTCGCCTCCTGCTGCATCATTGTCCCTGTCACTTCTCTGCAGATCCCCAGATTATCAGATCGTCAGCTTACAGCACAGAATCCAGTTATCAATCCATCTGATAATCTAGAAGGGCGTAGTTCTGTTCTGTACTGGAACACCTTCCACCTGGAGTTCTCCCACTACCTGCCTAGGTAGGTACTATACGGCTTGTACATCCAGTCAGTCACCTGATTGAACTCCCCAGGTATACCCATCATCAGACGCATCTAGCAGGATTATATCTCACCGCATAACGACCATGGCGACACTGAATCCAGAGTCTCGCGTACTCATCGTCATGACCGGCGGCACCATCTGTATGAAGTCGAGTCCTGAGGGCTTGGTCCCGGCTAGAGGCTTCCTGCAGGCTGGCATGGCCCCCAGGCCCTCCTTTAACGACGGTTCCAAACTAGGTGAGAGGCTTCTCATATCTGCTACGACATGTCTTCGTTGATTTGCTTCTGAATCTCTCTTTACCTACTACATTGTCAGTGACTTCTAGTTCGGATCGTGGTCAGGCAGGTAATAGTGTCCACCTGGCGAACTCACGTCTATCACAAGAGAGAGAACTCCCGCAGTTTAAGTATCTTGTTTGAGTCCTATCTCAGACCCTGGCTTTCCTCAGGTCTTGCTGTTTCAATTATGGAGGAGCAGTAAATTGTTCCTCCGCCCGAGCTACTTGGAATTCGTCGAGATTAGTATCGTCGATCGACAAGTCTTTGCTGAGGATGGCCTTTGAAGCACCAGAAGAATTTCAGGCCTGCCCACCACGTAAACCAATTTACAGATATCAAGTTCCTTATCGCTGCTCCAGTCTGCTACCCAGCTCCATGTTTCAATATTCAAGCCCTGCGATGGGGCCATTCCACCGAGGCATTTCGTTTTCCTTGAGATTCCGTGCGATTTCTGACATGTCTACAGATCCTCTTCCCGTAATGACTGATGCTTCAACAAAAGAATACTTCCCCAGTCTCCGAACCCCACCGAGCACCTACTCTAACCATATCCGATATACCCTCTATGAATTCCCCAAGCTCCTTGACTCTTCCTCCATATCATCGGCTGGATGGGGTCAAATAGCTACCACGATCCAAAATAATTACTCTCTATACGATGGCTTTGTTATCCTACACGGAACCGACAGTCTAGCATATACCAGTTCTGCCCTCTCTTTCATGTGCGCCCATTTAGGAAAACCGATCATCTTGACAGGATCCCAGGCTTCCATTTTTGCATTGCAGTCAGATGCGGTGGATAACCTACTTGGATCCCTGATTATCGCCGGGACGTTTATGATCCCGGAGGTGTGCCTCTTTTTCCATCATAATCTGTATCGAGGAAATCGAGCTACGGTAAGAATCAATCTCTTTAATTTCTGATGCCGGATTCGTCTCTCTATCCTTTAAATCTCCAAAGACATATAGTCTTTCGATCTTGTCGAAATAGGCTGATCATGAGTAGAAAATCTCCGCTTCTGCCTTTGATGCATTTGCAAGCCCCAACTACCCACCGTTAGCAAAAGTCTCTGCTATGGGCGCAGAGGTAAACTGGAACCTGATCAGTCGACCCAGGGCCATTGCTAAATTCGAGGTCCAAACCAACCTCGACACAGCACACGTAGCCTGCCTTCGAATCTTTCCGGGAATCAAACCAGAGATGATCGACGGTGTGCTCCGCCTGGAGGGCCTACGTGGTCTGATTCTGGAGACCTTTGGCGCGGGAAATGCCCCGGAAGGCGAGGATGGAAGCCTTACAGCTGTAATAAGGTCTGCCGTTCAGCGCGGGGTAGTCGTTGTCAATGTCTCACAGTGTCAATCCGGCTTTGTGTCTCCCCTCTATGCGCCTGCCACCGCACTAGGCAAGGCAGGAGTAGTATTTGGACATGACTTGACAACCGAAGCGGCACTTACGAAGCTGTCTTACCTCCTTGCACTCCCGGATCTAGAGTATAACGAAATCACAACGCAGATGCAGCTCAGCATCCGCGGCGAGATGACCGAGGTCCTAAGCACGCAATTCACGCACCCCGCTACTGATGTGCCCGTTATCACCGAGCGCCAACAAGCCTTCACTGCACTCGGACACGCCATCGCGAATGGTGATGTGGACGCTGTCGTCCAGCTACTTACCGGAGACCCGTATGGGCTTCTGGATGCAAAGGACTATGCTGACAACACGGCGTTGCATCTGGCTGCCGTGGCGCCGGATGTTCGGGTATTGGAGGAATTACTCAACCGAGGCGCAAGCGTCCATGTGAGGAATCGCGCGAGTAATACGCCACTCTTCCTAGCAGAGCAGGTAGGGGCAACGGAACATGTAAGGCTGTTAAGGGAGAGCGGGGCACATTTTCATGTTGAGGAAACCGAGAGATTGAGGGGAGATACTTAGAGGGACTCTGGTAGTGAAAGGATATCCAGGTCAGAAATTTCTGACAAGTCAAGGGAAATTCGGAGATATCTGGGATGTGTTCTCGAAGCATACGCTTGCTAGGCCAAAGATTCCCGTGGGCATCGTTGGGCGGGCATATACCAGTTGCAGTCTCTTAATGCCACATGTCCGCCTGTAAATATAAACTATAATCTATGTAATTCTAGGCAAAGTAACAAGCCATCACCGGTGGAGAAGTAGAATATCAAAGGTACTAAATCGCGCGAGTTTCAATGGTTTCCCTTCCGCGCTTGCACTTGGTGCTACTTCTTTCTTTTCTCATATTTGCATCCTAGCTCAATACTTAACTGTAGATGCAAGAGAATCATACTACCAACTTCTACTATACCTTTAAAAAAGCCGTTTGATGAATGAATCCTGGGTAGACAACTCCCTCCCGGAAAAGGGGGTTCGCATCACGTGAACATGTCAAAATCGCTAAAATTTGCGCGGTCTGAAAAACTCACGACACATTATTCTACAACGAGCAATACCACTCAAAATGTCATGACATGCCTCATATCCGTCTCTCTAGGCGTTATCTCTTTAAAGTTACTGCCAGAAAAAAACATCAAATAAAACATAACTCAACTTTTTCCAAGACAATGCCGCCCTCAAAACCGCTGCCGTTCGCGGATGATTTCGCAAGTGCGGATTCATACGTCGAGTCGCTGCTGCGGTTCTCCGCCGCCTCGAGCGTCTTCCAGACGTTGTGCGGCGGGGTACACATCCTGGATTTCTTCACCAGCCAGCCCAGCCTGTACCACAGCGTGATCCCTGAAGAATGGCGCGCCTGGCTCATGAAATGCGGGTCGATGGAACTCTTGGATCTGCTTATGCGCGACGATCTGTCGCAGGCGCGAGAGGACAACCCGCCAGAAAGTCTACTGAGCTATATCCGTGAGATTCGGAAGCATTCTCTGCGCAGGACCCTGGAGCGGGAGAGGCAAAAGGAGGAGCAGCTCCCGCGGCATATCGCCGTGGGCATGATTCCTAAGAAGATCCATGAGGTGTCGAATTTCGCCTCCTATGTCGTCGGGGTCGCCGACTCGGTTGCTGCCCGTTCTGGGAAAGAAATCACGCACTTTGTGGATTTTGGTAGCGGGCAGAATTATCTTGGCCGCACGCTGGCTAGCCCACCGTACAATAAACATATTGTAGCGGTGGAGAGCAAGGAGCTGAATATCAGCGGTGCTAAGAGTATGGATGTGTCGGCTGGAGTGGCTGAGAGGGAGAAGGTCATGCGGAATAAGAAGGTTTATAGGGCCCAACTGGATGCTATGACGCCGGCAGAGGCGCTGAAGGATAAGGCGAGACGCAGGGCTGCAAAGCCGCTGCCAATCCCGGAGGATAACATGCCGGATTTGAGACCCACCAAGGATCTTGCTACTATCTACACGCCAGCTGATGGGAAGGGTTATATCCAGTATGTTGAGCACCGTGTTGAGGATGGAGATCTCTCAAACGTGGTCGAGCAAATCGAACGGGTGAAGGAAGCTGCTCCAGCAGGGGAAGTCCAAGTTATCAGCTCATCAGCCAACGATGATACCCCAAATCCTCAAATCCCCAACGTCATCGACGAGATCTCCAAAAGCAGAGAAACGCGGTTGATGGCCATCTCAATCCACTCCTGCGGCAACCTCTCCCACCACGGCATCCGCTCCCTCCTTCTCAATCCCTCCGTCCACGCCGTCGCAATTGTAGGCTGCTGCTACAACCTCCTAACGGAGCGTCTCGGCCCGCCGACCTACAAGCTCCCCCACCTCCGCCCGAACCTTCGCGCTATCAACGCCCCGCGTCTCACACGCGATGCCTCCGCTCGCGACCCGCACGGCTTCCCCATGAGCACGCGCCTCGCCACCTACAACGACGACGGCATCCGGCTGAACGTGACCGCGCGCATGATGGCCGTGCAAGCGCCGCAGAACTGGACCGAGAAAGAAAGCGACGCCTTCTTCACTCGGCACTACTACCGCGCCCTGCTGCAGAAGGTCTTCCTCGACCGCGGCGTCGTCTCGAAGCTTCCCCCCACCGGCGACGACGATGGCACCACCCAGAGCACCGAGCCCGTTATCATCGGCAGCTTGCGCAAATCCTGCTACGCCTCCTTCAAGACGTACGTGCGCGGTGCGCTGGAGAAGCTGAGCGCGGACCCATCCCGCGGCCCCGCGGTCCTCCAGAAGATGGGCGAGATCTCGGACGAGGAGATCGAGGAGTACGCGCGGCAGTATGCGGGTCTGAAGAAAGAGCTGAGCGTGGCGTGGAGCTTGATGGCATTCAGCGCGGGCGTCGCTGAAAGTCTCATTGTCGTCGATCGATGGCTATTCTTGAAGGAACATGAGCATCTCGTTAGTGACTGCTGGGTCGAACCCGTTTTCGATTATAGTCTGAGTCCGCGGAATCTCGTCGTCGTGGGGATCAAACGGTGACCCGTGGCGCTTCTCTTGACTTGAACGAATGTTGGGGTTGGGGCGGAGACTTACAATACCTTATACCATTGATTGTTGATGAAAGCCAAGCCCGTGCTTTTTGCTCGAGGAGTTGAGGTGGTCGATGTATCGCGTCTCGATAGATGGAATGCGAGATTCCTTTGGAATGTATATTGGATATACCCCCAGATCATTAAGTGCTGGAGAATTAAACCGCCAGCTTTGTCTGTCAGAAAATGTTCTAGAGAGGGAGACGTCCTGGGTAATAAGGATCTTGCCTCGTCACCTTGGGTAGGCAGCTCACGCCTTCTTGTCACCGCTAAACTCTGTTATTAAGACGTATGATCTAGACCTTCAGCCCTTCTAATCATCGTCTGTCCTCTAATTTTCGGACGTCCTCTATTACTCACGTGTATCATCAGGTGTAAATAACCATATATATCTGCGTAACATTATCTACCCTAATTGCGTTAAATGCGCTATTCAAGGTAAATGTTACTTTGCGGCACAGCTCAGTAAACCTGACCTCATATTCAAAGAGCCTCCCTCCCCCCTAACATGAAGCGAGCCGCCCTAGTTGCCGTAGCGAACCGAGGACTACCTTACCTACACCTTATCTCTCCGCAAGTCAAGGCCGTTTGATTCGAAACAACGTGTTTGTCTCTTTTGCCATGGCCGATCCTCTCACGCGATAACCCACGAGGGAATAGGAACCGAGGGGGGTGACATCGCGCTTGTCCAGACCAACAACCAACCAGTAGCCTCTCTACAGAGCGCCTTCTGCGCTCGCGCTTCCAAGACTCTGTCAACCTGCTCTTTTCAAACCAGGTCCGGGAATAGCACCACTCAAGTCCTGGCTTTTTGATAGTTTTGCGTCCTAGTGGCTTGGGGTTTCTTATCGAAATTTTGGCGTACCAGGAATACTGCTGGGCCAGGCTGGGCTGGGTGACTTTTCTCGCCGCCACAGATGGATGGGGAAGGTTATCAGGATCTTGGCGTGCGAGATGTTGGTGGTTGGATACAGAGCCCGCTGGTTTCTGGCGGAAATCTTGTTTCCAGAAGGCCTATAGAACCGGGGGCTGGGGATGAGGGAATGCTTGATATGATGGAGCCCCACAGGTGTCTGGCATATCCCGATTCTTTACCGTTTAAGCCGAGGGAAAGTCTGATACCACGATACGGATTAATACAGTATCTACTGTATATGCAGCGTCTTTGGGACCAGGCCGTCGCCCCCCCAAAAAAGTGGGACAAGCTGCTGATTCAATGAGAATGGTAGGTCAGAATTTCAGAGAGTTTAAAGTGGTCGATAAGGCGTCTGGCAATGGATTACACTACTGGATCTCTCACCATTACGCCTTCCAGTCGCCGCATTGATCTCGTGATGTCTTGAGAGGACTCCCGCGCCTGGCTTCGATATCTTGCTGAAGCAGGAAGCGCCACGAGGAGAGTCTCGGTGGCAATGCTACCTATCAGGCCTGATGCCATAGTTTGCGATCACACTGATTCGGAATGGCCGTGAGATTCAGCTCAAGTTCCAACACGAGATATTTTGGGCCATCCATCACACAATCACACAATTCCATTGCTACAAGCATATCTCGGACTGTCGAGGAATATGGCATATACACTAGCATGGGCTCCCCTGCCGGAATCCAACATCAAATGCAGCACCATGCCAACCATCGCACGATTCCCGACCACTTGCTGTCTGGGCCAAAGCTTGTAGATGCTTGCCAGCCCCCTCACCTTCCAAGGCCTTTCTGATGGTGTTCTGGAACGAGGGGACTCCGGAGGAGCGAGGTGTCAAGGGAAAATAAGGATCCCGGCTAGGCTATTCACGGAGTATCCGCTTCTTGCGACCCACCCCGGATCGATTATAGGCCAACCAAAGCATATCATTTACAAACCAAAGAAAGAGGTAATCGAGAGACTCTTCAGCGGTTTCTGTACTGTACGGAGTAGGCCAACGAACCCATCAGCAGGTCATGCGACGGCAGCAAGTGCCTCCTCCCCCCCTTTTGCTGGATGTTCGCTACGGAACAGCGAGCGCCTACCTGCAAACTTGCAAAGTTGCGTGTTTCTAAATATTCCCCATTGCTCCGTACTTTGATCAACGGCTTTAACGATACGTAGTCTAGATTAAGTGCCGATTGCTTAATTCTTATCACCTATGGCAAAACTACCACGCACCTTATTGGCTGGTTGGTCTGCCCGGTGGGGGCGTTTCCCGCTTTATACTCTAGGAGCAAGAATTGGTGTCTATCAGCGCGGAGTTCAGGACCTTCAGGTGCAATCCAGAGACAATGCCAAGAACACTTTTGCAGAGTCTCTCTTGGCGATCGAAGTGACCTTCCTAACACAGGGACTGATCCCCGCTCACAGAATGATTATCTCTAATCCTGAGAGCGGTTTAGTATACACAGTACATACATGGACGGGCTTCGATGGGATGCTCCCCAGAATATCATGGGCGCGTATATATATGCGCACTCCCCAGGAAAAGGAAGCATGGGCGGAAACCCTTGGTTCTTCTATCCAGTTATCTTGAAGAGGCACTGTCAATTCCATCACCGTGAGGATTCGCCGCAACCATGGGTGAGCAACCCCAAAACTTCATTCACATATTTTCTTGTTGACAAAAGTCGCAGCTACCGAACATGTAACTGCTGATGCGCAGTACACCATCGGGCGCGGGGGTGCCGTTCTCAATCTCGACCGCAAGGGTTCTCTCGTCCAGGAATACGAACAGGAAGCAGAGTCTCTTCCTGTCGTAGAACCCTCGAATGTGCCGACCGAGGAAGAAAGGAAGACGCTTCGCAAGGTTGCTGGCAAAGTACCCTTGATTGCTTATTTCATCTGCGCCGTGGAATTTGCAGAACGTGCCTCCTACTATGGGGTCTCGCCGTTGTTCAACAACTTTGTTAACCGTCCACTCCCAAAGAACGGCAATGGATACGGTGCTCCAAAGAGAGGGACCCAAGATACCGCCGGTGCCCTGGGACTGGGTTCCGTGAAGGCTACAGCTGTTAGTCAATCGTTTTCTATGCTGGCATATGCTCTGCCGGTCTTCTTCGGATGGTTGGCCGATGCAAAAACTGGACGCTTCCGACTTATCTGCTGGGGGGTTGCAGTGTGTGGTATATCTCACGTTATTATGGTCGCCTCTGGAGCACCCCATCTTCTCGCAAATGGCGGAGCTAAGGGTCCCTTTTTTCTCAGTGTTTATATTCTAGCTATTGGTGCTGGTAAGGAAATCGAACCCCTATCGTCGAACGCCTAGGCTAACTTGCCGTCTAGCTATGTTCAAACCAAACATTTCGCCAACTCTTCTCGACCAGATGAAGGAAACCGCACCAGTAACCAAGGTCCTAAAGAGTGGCGAAAAGGTCATCGTTGATCCGGAAGCCACCACAGAAAGAGTTATGCTCTGGTTCTATCTCCTCATCAACATTGGAGCTTTCATGGCCGTTCCGACTTCGTACAGCGAGAAATACGTAGGATGGTGGTTGGCTTTCTTCATTCCTTTATGCCTCTACATGCCACTACCCTTGCTCCTTTGGTACCTGAAAGACAAACTTGTCCTATATCCTCCTGCGGGAAGCGACCTCGGGAAAATCATACGCATCCTTGGGATCTGCTTCAGACGCGGCGGTGTCAAGAGATTATTCACAAAAAATGACAGTTTCTTTACACCCGCCAAGCCTTCCGTTATTGCTCAAAGCAGCAAGCCGATCGAAGTCCCATGGAACGATGCCTTTGTCGATGATGTACGGCGCACCTTCCAAGCTACGGGCATCTTTTGCTTTTTCCCCCTCCAAAACATCAATGACAACGGTTTGGGTAGTGCAGCCAATGTCATGAGCACCATGCTCACGACGAATGGTGTGCCCAACGACGTTATTGGAAATTTCAACGCCCTCTCGATTATTTTTATGGCACCCATTCTGAACTACGTTGTCTACCCACTACTCCGCAGACGCAACATTCACTACGGACCCATTGCACGCATGACAACTGGCTTCCTCTTAGCCGCAGCCGGAGGCGCCGGATATACTCTCCTCAACTGGAAGGCCTACCAGCGAAGCCCATGCGGCCACTATGGAACCAGTCCTACCTGCGTTGATGCTGAGGGCAATTCGCTCGTCTCCGATATCACCATCTGGTGGATGGCGATTCCCTACGCCCTAGGCGGTATCTCCGAGCTCTTCGTCAACGTCCCCGCCTATGGAATCGCCTACTCGCGCGCCCCCAAGAACATGCGAGGTCTGGTCTCCGCCCTGAACCTCTTCAACAGCGCCATCGCCTACGCTATCGGCCTGGCTACCTCTGCCGTCGTCCGGGATCCTTACCTCACCTGGGATTTCGGCGGCCCGACCATCATCAGTCTCGTCGCGACCGTTGTCTTCTACTGGCTGTTCAGGGATATTGACAAAGAAGAATACCGCCTGAGCCACAACGACGACTATGAGCTGGAGCTGAATGCCCAGTCTAGCACGAGTGAGAAGGTTGAGAAGACGACTTCCCCTGAGATAAAGGAGATCACTGAGGAGGCTTCTCCGATTGAAAAGGAGGGAGCGAAACAGAAGGAAATTCTCGAATCTTAGGATTGTCTGCGATTTGGCGATGTCTCTCATGGGACAGGTTCCCTACCAATTGTATAATCGGCGTAGTTGGATACAATAAAAAACTTCACTATTACCAAATAACTTTCCACTCTGAAGTCTACTCATAACGCCAAACAATCTAACCCATATTACCTTCTTCAAAAAATATTACATCCTTTCCCCTCCTAGGCCCTCCATACCCCAACAAACCCCACATCATCTCAAACCCCATCCATCCATCCGTCCATCCATCCCCCCTGCTTCCTAACCCCCACATCTCCCATCACCCACTTTAATTTTAAAAAACGCTCCTATATAACCCGCTACCCGGCCCCCAGTCCCCAACTAAAACAAGCAACAAACTCCAAGCCCGCGTAGCTCAATCGGTAGAGCGTCAGACTCTTACTTAAGAATCTCTTCAGTTCTATCTGAAGGCTGCGGGTTCGACCCCCGCCGTGGGCTCAATTCCCACTGGCTTGCTTTGAGTTGAATTTTTTGGTGATTTTTCGGGAGGGTTGGGGTTTGTTATTTAGAATTTAACACCGAGGAGCTAGCTCTGTTTTTGTCATTTTTTGTTGCCCTACTCTTTCAAAAGAAGTTTAAAAATAAAAAGCCATCTTTCACATCGAACAGCAAAAAAAACGAAAATTTCCAGTATTATATACAGCAGCACATTCTTTTACATCTCTTAACTCATACTCCTGAGGATCCCTGCTCGTAGCCAAAAAAAAAGAGAGAAAAAGAACTCCGTAATTCCG